TTATTACTTAAAGAATGTAGATTATTTTAAGAACTAGAAGGCCCTAGAAAAACTGCCCTTGTCTCATTTGTTTCCCCTTTTCCTTGTTAAACACACACTCTCCCTTTTTATGACCTGGAAGAACAAGGTTTAGAGGATACCATTCAGGTCTAGTTATATCAGTGAATTGTGCTCTCTTACCTGAAAAACTTTTTGTTTCTCTTATGCAAATAAAAAGATGAGTTTTCTCCCTCTCTCTCCTCTTGAAACCCTAGTCCTTAATAGCAGAATAAATGTCCTTGCTATACTCCATTTTACTTTAGACTTTATAGCCATGTAAATTCTTAATATGCATGTATTAAGTTTTGGCCTTTTCTCCTACTAAGCTTTCTGATGCTAATTTGTTCATCCAGCCAATTTTCCCTTATTTCTGAGAGGTATTCAGTTTTTAGCTTATATAGTCCATTTCTGCACTGCCTTCTTGTACCAATCTTCTTGTACATTCTTTGTAAATGGAAAATATTTGCACACACTTTGCTTGTAAAGGTAGCATGGAATAATCATCTGTGATATTAAAAAGAAGGACCTTTGTCTTTGTAGAAGTTCTCTTAGAATCAATGATTACTGAGAGTCTTCTTATTTAATCTATATATCCTTCAATGTGCACAATACAAGATAGAATCAGCAGCCAGAACAATTTGGTGAGGAAGCTTTGTTATAGAATACCTGAACTGAGCTCATACTGCTAATTGAGCAAACTTTTGGGGTTAGGAGTTAATAATTAGGTGATTACAAAACTCCTTCCCATTTTAACTCAATATATGCCTTGCTCTCAAAGACACAAAATGTGCACCAAAAGCCAGAGAGCCAAAAGTGAGAATGTGGTTATCATCATTAGAAGTCTGAAAATGGGGCCCTCCCTGGTGGAGTAGCAGGTTAAAGCACAGCACTAAGAAGCTAAAGCCACTTCAGAATGAGTTCGATCCTCACCCCAGAGGTGACCCATATGGTATGGCAGACCTCTCCTGACTCGCCCACTGCTCCCCTCAGCAGTGTACTTTGTCAGTCAGCCTGTTCTGCTCCTCACTCTGTCTCTGGTGAATCCTCTCACCACATCTGTGCCTCTGGCCTGTACCCCAGTTCTGTATGCATAAGTAAGTATAAAAAAAAGAAAAAGTCTGAAAACTGGGGGAAAGATAGCACAAATGGAAGAAAAAGATAAGAAGGAATTGTATTGTCTTCTGCAAACATCCCGTATTTTGCATTGACTTTGAAAAATATTCAATGCTTTTAAAAGGCTTAAAAATTGTAGAGACAGCTTATTGTCTGTCTTGTAGAGAAAAGGCAGAATCAGACAAATAGACTCCCAAAGAGTGAGACAGAAAAGATTTTTTCTCAGAGGTGCTTATCTCTAAAAGAAATGCTGAAAATAATTACAGGGGAAACTAAAAGGGGCCTCATTGTCTTTTTAAAAATATTATTTGTGAGTTCCATGAAGCTGGGTTTAATAATTATATGTAAATCAAATTAGTATACCTCAAGCCACAAAGTCAGTGAGGAGGGCTGCCTCAATTGAAAGAAGCCTCAATGTCAGACATCTTTCTTGCCTTCCTTGGAATGTTGTTAAATACGAATTGCAAAAGTAAATTTTAATGACATCAAAAAAATATTGGGCAATGTGTCCCATTGCCAAGTAGCTAAGACTAGAAATTTGTCCAGAGTCTCTACCCAAGGGAAGAACCTGGTGCTCATTAAGGTTATTCTTGTCCACAGCTCCAGGGAAGCAAGTCTATTTGAGCAAATCTGGTAGAAAGCCTGAGACCCATGGAAAGTCATGAAATAAATACACAAAAACTTTTGGCCAGTGTTCTTCACCATCTGTACCTCGGGGCTCGACTTCATGCACACAAAAAATGACACTGCACTGTCCTTGGGTAACATCCTTAATACCAGCAACTTTCCTGTGGAAAGTTTCTTTATTTAAACATCATTCTTGCCTATTTTTTGATACATACTTTTTAATAATAAACAAGAAAAACATTCCTTTATCCAAAATAAGCTAAACATAAATTAGAATTAGCTGTGGCTGTGGAATACCATTTTGCCGCAAGGCTAATCAAAGGAGTCAATGTACAGTTCTATCCTCACCCCCATTAAAGCTTTGCCAAAAAGCTTTACCCAATTTTCTATGGAGAATCTGGTCTGTGGACTCCTAGCAAAATTTTAAGAGCACTTATGCAGAATAATCTGCTGTTAGATTTATAGCAGAAAGCTGGGGAGTAATAGTTGATGCTGATTGGCAATGAATGGAGACCTGGGAAACAGTGTAACTAGTAAAGAATAACCCTCCCTAAAATGTTTCAAAAAGGCCTTCCTAAGATTTGACACTATGGCATAAGGTTATTTTGAAAGGTGGTCAACCAGAGCCTTGCAGGGTCATAAGAAGCTAACTTCTCTTTTATTGTCTAGAAGAATAAAATTTGGGGGTATTACCCAGATTAGATTTGTTACCAGAAATAATGTTGCTATCAGAGGAACCTACCTAAATGTTTGCAGCACAAACATTTAATTGCACAGCCTATGGGCTCAGTCAGTGAGGAGTCACTCTCCTCACTCCTGAAAGCCCCAAGCCCTTATCCTATTCCTTAATTCAGGACATACACCCTCATTTTGCCTCACTGACTTTGGAATCTACATCCATGCAGATTCTCCACACATGCTATTAAATTGGTCTTTTCCCCTACTAATCTGTATGATGTTAATTTGATTGTTTAACTGAACAACCCAAGAAGAATCCAGAAATTTCTTCTCTACACTACACCTTCTCTACACACTTTTCTGTATCTTGGTATCTAGCAGTTTTCATCTTGCTCAAGAACAAACTATGATGTAGTTCAGGAAAAGCATTTCTCAACTGGCAAATCTGCTATGCCATTTCTGCTTATTTACAGTGAAAAACACCATATTTTTAAGAAAACATTAAATGCAGAAGTGAAAATTGAAGCAGAACTTTTTTAAAATTTAAATTCTCATATGAAATGATTTTAATTTTATGAATGTTATGTTCCAACTCAAAAAAGAATATTGCACAATGTTTTAATATTACAGTTGTTACTTTTCTCATTCTGGTGAGATTTTAATATACATAATTGACTTTGGAAATAACACAGAGAATGTCTTAACTGGTTAAATAATTTCAGTAACCTGTGAAGAACTGAAAGCAGGATATCACATTCATATAAAAGACAAGTACAGATCCATAAATTCACTGGACTTTAGTGAAAAATAAACTCATGTACTAAAAGGAGACAAAATTGAAAGTGTCATGAAAATAGAATGTAAGTCCAAAATTTTTCAGTACACTCTTTTACTTTTAGAAATCCACTAGATCTCACGACTTCTTAGAATATCAGAACACGCTGTAAGTCACATTTTTTGCAGAGGCTAACATTTTTAAAACAAAAATCTAAATAGTACAAATCAACACTAGTAAAATAACAAAACCTCTGAATGATATGGTGAAATTACGCAAGTAACAACAAAAAAGAAAGAGACCAGAAAACAAATTTTTATGTCATGACACTTATTAAAATTTCTGTTCAAATATATGAACTTTCAGTATTTTCCTAATTAACAAACACCAATTATCATTTTGCATAGTGAAAGAGTATATGCTGAAAATTTAAGAAAATAAAATATTGGTGATCATTAAGCAAATTTAACTCCATGAAACTATCCTGATTCAACAATTTTTTCTTTTTTCCTCATTTGCAAGAATCAAATTCAATTACAAAATCAGGAGAAATAAAAACTTCAAATATAGATAAGTCATATATAATTTTTTAATGAAGAAATACTTAATCTTATCCACTGGTCTTTTTAACATCTAGTGTCATAAAATTCCCATAAGTTGCAAGAAAGTTATTAGGCCAAATACTAATCTCTGATATGTCAAAATATTTAGCCATCAGAAGTATAAACATTGGCAAACAGAGTTAGGAATTATAACAATCCCAAGTAAAACCCTTTCTAACTGAAAATGTCATTATGGTTCAATATTTTCAGAAAACAAAACCTATAATAACTTTTCAAATCTTCACACATACACACTCTAGTTCTCTTAAACAGTAAGAAAACATCCTGCAGGTTCTGTGACAAGCACACAATTATTCAAGCTAGGTGAAGCCTGCTATAACCTTTCTTTTACTTACAAAAATAAAAGCTAATGTTACATAACATACAGTTTTCATTTATGATATGATATTACTGAAGAGGATTTGCTTATTTCATAAGATATGCCTTAAAATTTTCCAGTATCACTAGCTGAGGAACTCCAACATTATTTTTCTGCTTCATAAACTCAGAAGGATTCCCTTCTATGTGCTTATAAACCTGCATAATCTCTGGACTAGAAAAATGGGTCAACAGTATTACTTGTGTCACTTTTAATTATCCTTTTAACACTCAAAAGCGTTCTTTAACTTCAGCAAAGTTAAGTGATGTATTATTTCTGTATTTAGAATCTGTCAACTTTTTATTTTTAGTTATTTTTAAATACATTTTTGAAAACATGTCCACATTAATTGTTGGGGTTTCTAGTAGAATTCAAATGCCCATTTTTCCATAAATTCAACAGCAGCTCTGATATTGAAATTTGAGTAATGAATATTGTGTTTTATATCTTTAAAGAATATATTCTCCAAAATACATGTGGTGATGAAGAACTGGTCAAATCCCATAAGGGAAAAAATGATCTCTTGGGTTTTATCTTATTTTTTGTTAAAGATTTATTAATTTATGCTTACAGAACTCAGGTACAGGCCAGAGGTGAGGTTGGTGAGAGGCTTCACCAGAGACAGAGTGAGAGCAGAACAGGCAAATGGACTGAAATACATTGCTGAGGGAAGCAGCGGGTGGGTCAGGAGAGGTCTGCCTTGCCATGTGGGTCAGCTCCCTGGCCAGGATGGAAATGCTGCAGTGGCTTGGGAGAGCTTCATTGTGTGGTGCTTTAACTCATTGCACCACCAGGGAGAGTCTTTATCTTACTATTTTTTAATAAGATGCTAACAGCACGTAGCATTTTTATTTTCAGGCTCTCATTTGTTTAGATTGTGAGAAACATCTTGTTATAACAGTCCTGTAGATATAAGAAACTAATGCAAACAACTATAATTAAACAGTAAAAGATATTTCTATAATCCTTAATTTTAAATTCAGTATAAAAATCAGTTCATACAGGCATTTGAGCACAGAACTGTCATTAAATATTTAAAATTAAGCTCCTAGTTAGAGCAGGATATATAAGAGGGTTATACTTTCTTTTCAGAAGTAACAAACTGATACAAGAGAATAATTATAGGTTATCAATACCCATATTTTAAAGAACGAACTGTAGAGCCTATAGATATATGTGCCATAGACAATGAAAAAAGAAACACTTTGGGAAAAAAAATCACGTTGCAAAGTGTATTATAAAAATAAATTACATAGCATGTGCCCACGGACCTGAAAGCATTGCAAAAGGAAGAGAAATTCCTTTTGACACCAAGATTGAATGAATTGTTTTTGCTATCAATATTCATATAATCAACACCATTTTCATCTATTACATTACATTCCCTGCCCCCCCAAAAAAATCACTGGAAGTAGCAAAGTATTTCCAGTAGTAAGCAGTGGGTGGCACGGAGGACTTTAGTGCTGACCGAGGGCTGCAGAAATACTATCCATTCAACAGAGATTCAGAGGACGTACACACAGCCAGTATGTGCTTGCTTTACCATTTCATCTGGAGTTCATACGTAACTGGTGAATGATGATGCTTTCTATAAAGAGAAGAAAGATACGACATTTTCAATTAAACTGAAACTCAAGTCAGCAGTTTCTGGGGATCAATAGCACATCATTTCACTGAAAGAACAGAGATGTTAAATGGCAGACAAAACAGCACATGAGCCCAATAGCTTCTGCAGTCTTTGCTGTTCTTAGGTAACTTCTTATATTGGCATATGTGCTTACTGCCAATATTTTCGGTCCTTTAGAAACCATGTGGAAGGCCCTCCCTGGTGGCACAGCAGATTAAAGCATAACACTAAGAAGCTAAAGCACTTCAGCATGAGTTCAATCCCCACCTGGAGGTGATCCACATGGCACAGACCTCTATGACCCACCCGCTGCTTCCCTCAGTGGTGTACCTCATCATGCCTGTTCTGCTCCCCACTCTGTCTCTGGTGAATCCTCTCACACACACCCCACCCCCCGCACCTCTGGCCTGTACCCCAGCTCTGTATGCATAAATAAATAAATCTTTAAAAAAGAAAGAAAGAAAGAAACCATGTCGAATAGCCTAACAATGGTAGATCAATTTTGATTTTACCCAAGGAAGAGGATCTGAAGAATAATTACATATATAAGCCATACCATGAAAAACTAGAAATAACTATTTTCCCAGCCATACTGCTTCTGGTCTGACCAATATTCGCATACATTTACTTTATTTTTTTCCATATGTAGATTTGAATTTTAATATAAAAATATTATCTATTCCTAACAAGTCATTAAACATAAAGGACTTTTGCCTCTAGATTCTTTCTTGCTTTTGCATAATTCTGTGTAAGCATTTTAAATCTAAAGTCATTTCCATAAAAATAAATGAAAAATTGATAGTAATGGAAACACTACCAGACACTTTGTAATGTGTAATACTTATATTTATTTGATTTTAGCTATATATAAATTTTATGCCTTCTTGAATATGTATCATCAATTTCTTTTTTATCATAACATTTAAAGACTATTGGGGCCCTATTATGTGTCCATCTCTGTGTTAGGCATGGGGCCACATTGGGAGGTAGTGGCAGAACCCTGCCACTGCTGAGATTATATCGAGTGGAGAAAAGAAATAGCCTAAGCCTCAAATAGTTTCCCCACCTAAAAAAATTGTTACCTCCCTGTTAATATATGATAATGCTTTAAGTGCAGAAACTAATGTCAGCATTTATAAATCGTGTGAGAACTTTTGCCCCTTTAATTCTGAATACTATTCACATTTTATTTAGATATTTGACATCTATATAAATAAATATGAATTAAAGCACATGCTCTCATAGACCCACAGGTTCTTGCTAATGATGTAGAGTGGATGATCCTGATCTAAGCTTAAAGGTTTTTGCCTTTTTAAATTTTCCAATGGCTTGCGTACTATTTTTCCATTCCTTTAATATAAGTCTAGGTTTATTGCTTAAGTGAGTTTCTTAGAAGATCCTCATCAATATGTTCTTAAAATGATTCCATTAACTCGATTCTGACCACTAGGTGGAGATATTTCCATTGTTTCCCCAACCTTTAGAATTGAATTTGTGATAAATATGTAAGCAAAATAAAACAGTAAATGTTTTTATATACTTAATTATATTTATCTATGATGGCTTTTTAAAGCTTCTAAAACCTAGTGATCTCTCACTAAACCAAAACCCTTAAAAATCATTATCTCATCTTCCTTCGGAAAATTATCCTGGCTTCAAATCTTTTTCAATGCCCCAAAATACGTAAAAATATTCAGGCAAAAACTGAAATTATATAAAATGTAATGTAATTAAAAATTCAGAATATAGGATTAAGATACTATTTTCCAATTTTCTTTTTTTGAAATTTCTGCAGACAATTTTAAAGAGACCTAGGTCTCAAATTTCCCTAACAAAAGTATCTTTCCCATTTTTATACATTAAGAAAGCATAGAAAACATAGATTTGAAAGAGTGAGATCCATAATTGTTCTTATTGTAGCTGTAATTCAGAACGTTGTGTCTTTTTCTCTATACAAAATGAGGGCGTTAGATTAGGGGACCACAGATGGTGGAATTAGATAGCTTAGGTCTAGAAACATTGTCTTGTTTGGACCATTATATTTTATTACTATACTTAATTAAATAAGCAAACTGTTAATCCAAGCATGTCGTATAAACTAATGTTATTAATCAGACCATGTTATTAAAAATAATGTCTCAAAAATATTTGTCAAATTGACTTTATGTAAATTCTACTTTAAAGAAGAGGTATTTAATAACTGTGTACCACTCTTTATTTCAGAGAATACAATAAAGCTCAAGCTATTTTGTTTTATGTACAAAGAGTCATATTTCAATTTGTTTCTAGAGCTAATGAGACAGGCTTATATGATAGGTGCACTATTATCTATTTGCTTACTAGCTATGTAAGGGTAGCCCAGAGTAGACTGGGCTGGCCTCACCCGTGTGCTCACAATTCAGTTACACTGCAGGGACACACAAAAGGGTCAATAACGGGTTTATTTACAAAAGGGGAAAGGAATAGGAAACAACCCAGGGAAAGAGAGCGGGATACAAAGTAAGTGGAATACCTTAAGGCTAGGCTGACTGAACACACCAAGTCATGCAGTCCGGAGAGCTGTTTCCCAAGGAAAGAGAGAGCCAGAGCAAGCGAGGATGCAATTGCGCCCTGTTTATCCCCCCCAAAATGTCCCAGAATTCATTCCTGCTACATCCACCCTTGGGTCCTCGCAGTTCTCTCCCTGGTACTGCTGGAAGTTGTAGTTTCCAATCACTGGAGTAGTGTGTAGGGTCCAGAAAGCTAGAGTAACGGGTGGAGTCCATAAGACTGCAGAGTTCCTTTAGGACAGCCTTCCCCTTAACAGCTATATTTTCTCCGAATCTACATACTGATAGAAACATTCCACCAATACAGAAAATACTGATAAACAGAAAATGTCTTAAGTTTTTAAATTTTGACTACAAAATTGATGCATATGGAGTCCTTGATTACCAGGGAAAACAAATTAATGCTTTGGGGATTAACATTAAGCATAAAACATTATGCTTTTTATTTTTTGAAAGACAGAGTTCCTAAGTCTCCTCTTATCTTTTTATAATTTAATACCGTGCACCATTATTGATTTTAATAAAGTCAGTGAGCAAGTTTTATTTCATCTCCTAGGCTCTCTTCATGCCAGAATGAGACACAAATACAGGTCGTATGGGGGCACTATCAAGGGATTTCAGGTGCAATTCAGCAATAATTTTTCTCTTTTTACAGATACCATTTTACATTGGTAATTTGGAGAGCATTTATTTCATAGGCAGATTGGAGCCAAAGGTCCTTGTTAAAATTATCTCCTCTATCGGTAAACTCAAAATAATGAAACACTTAATTTTGGGGTTTTCTGATGTATAGTTTTATTAACATAATTTCTTTTTTTCTAATTAGAAGAAGAAAAAGCCTCAAGTCTTAGTAAATCTACATACAAACATGGAGACATTGGATTTTTATATATTTTGGCATGAGAGTTTTGCCAAAATGCATTTATGGATATTTTCCTCGATATGTTTCCTTAAGACATTTCAGTTAAGACTTTAAACACATTACTTGCTATTATGATACAGTTGTGAAATGATGTGGCCCATGAACTCATTCTTCTGTTATACTAGCTATTAGATACCTTCCAGAAAAAGTTAGCTCAGCAAGTTATCAATTCCTCAGTACACTTGATTTCTAATCTATTCATTCTTCTTGGGTGGTATCTCAAAACAACTGGCTAGTCAAATGATTTGAGATCTTAAACTTTGTACATGAGACAGGATGTGGAGAGAAATTGGGGGGAGAGTATCTTGTGAGTGCTAAAATGGGCCACATGGCCAAAATTTGGACTTTTGATTCCTCCCAGGAGAACTCCTTGGCTGTGGAGAAGGAAAGATGTACTCCCTGGAAAGTCAGTGCCTTCCTCTCAGGCAATGCATTTGTCTATGCTCTGCCAAATTCTGCAAAGAAACACGTTAGCATTGCATTTTAAAAATATACTCTAGTTAATGGGAACAGGTTACTGTTAGGTAGCCTCTAAGTTTACATATTAAAGGATGAAACATAGCAAAAGCTCTTCTAAGTAGTGTTTTGTACTAGCTTCGGAGAGCTGCTTCATCCACAGAAAACTGCAAGCCAAGTGACAGAAAACATTTTTTTCTTGGATTTGGCATCAGTTTGGTTGACTAATGGCCTGTTTCCCATGCTCAAGGGTCCCCCACTTTCTCAGGGGTGCTGCCTGGAGGAGAAGCCACCAACTAAGGATACCATTCTTCCTCTCCACTACCTAGCTTTGAACTTAGACCTGCAAGGTGATTTATCTACCTGCAAAAAATGCCCTGCATTCTACACACCTTTCAGTAGAAGGAAAGCCTAGGCATTATTTACCTTTAAGGTCCTCATTTTTGTAAACTGCTGTATGGTTCAGTTCTGTCCATATATTCATAAGTTATCTCAGTTCTGATAAAACAGCTGTTTTAAATAGGAAGTTCTATAAACTTCCTCTGTTAATTTGGACTTGTATTTCTTCTTTGGATTCAGCTCTGTTAATTAAAAATACTTCCGCTAATCGGTTCTGTCATTTGTTTCAGGAAATTTTTGAACAAGAGGATATAAACTCCCTTGGGCTTTTTCTACATCCTACTAGTTTATTTGCTTCCTTCCAAAACATTTTTCACTCCATCATCAACCTAAATCATCCTCTTTCCTCCTCTGGCTTAAAAGCATGTTTAATAATCATAGTTAGGCGTAGTAACTTCTTTTTCAGGAAAGCTATCTCTTCATTTTTTCCCTGACACAAGCAAATTAAAAATAGTTCTCTAACATATAACATTAATTATAAAGAAAAACTAAGTGGTAGAAAACATTGTAAGTCTTGGAGACAAGCATGCTCAGGTGCTGTCTTGTTGGACACAGATGCTAAATGTCTAGGTTGATTTAATTCCACAGAAGTAACACTGTGTGAATATTAAGAAGGACATTGAGTTTTTTAGATT